TTTGCAAGAATACAAATAGCATACGCACAAGCAAACAAGTGAGAATACTACAGTTGATGACGTTTCATTTCGAAAATCAATACCAGAAAGTCGATTTGGAAGTCTGCACGTGCCCGCATCCATCGCGTCCAGTGTGTAGACCAAAATTAAGACGCGGATGAAGTGCTTCTTATTTATAATTAGGCGGTCAGGCGTTACATGTCCCTCTCAATAGCGGTTATAAAAGAATACTCATCTGCTTTAATTATTTCATTATTTAGCTTATTATGAAACTTTCGAAATTTAATTCAAGCTCGATTGCAAACGTATACTTACTAAGAAAGCAGCTTGCGGAAATTAATTTAAATTAATGAAAATGTGTGTGTGTGTGTGTGTGAGGTAAGAAAAAAATAAATAAAATATTTGGCTTTTGCTTTTTGTCACAGATATGCGCATGCAGTTAATATAACTGATGCCACTTGGTAGTGTAAGGTATAAAAATCGGAACAGAAGACCACAAAACCGCATCCGTTGCAAAGGCAACCTGCTGCACACAAGGGAAATTATATTACAGCAGCAGGTTCACAAAAAGCATTAAAATCAGCAGCGGTAGTAGTAGTAGTAGTAGTAGTAGTAGTAGTAGTAGTAGTCGCTGCACTGGTAATTTCTGTTAACCATTCGCATGCGGAAAAACGATTTCCGTTAGATTGTTTAATGTCCATCGTCTCTGGTATGCATTTTCTTTTCACATATAGCGGGTGTTTAACTGTTACGGGAAGCATTTTTACTACTTAATGTATAAACAACTCTGTGTGTGTGTGTGTGTGTGTATATATATATATATATGGGCATGTGTGCATGTATGTATGTATGTATGTGTGTATGCGTGTGGGTAAATGTATTTATTTTAACTAACTTTCCATTCAAGTTTACAGACCGTTAAAGTTAATGGTGGCTGCCGCATAATCTCTCACAAGCTGCCTGCATCAACAACAATATCATGTTATATTCCCCATACGTGTTGTCGCGAAATGATGGCAATTTGTTTGCTGTCTCGTCCCTGTCTTACTCTCTCTCTCTCTCTCTCTCTCTCCCTCTTTCTTTCTCTCTTTCTCTCTTTCTCTCTCTCCCTTTCTCCTTCGCTTTTCCCTTCTCTTTTTCTTTCTTGCTTCAGTTTGTCCAGTGAATGTAAGCAGTCGACGACTTTAACCTGTGTGCGAGCGTCCTGTGGGTAATTAAAAATTCATTCATTCTCATAGATGTTGATGTCGCTGCTAGTGCTGTTGTTGTTATTATTTAGTTAATTTATGAATGGTTTTATGATTTTCACGTTGACCGCTACTTGCTAAAGTGGGTTATATTTCTAAGCCGTTTGTACAGATAACGCGCCGTAAAACTATATATACTTTTCTTTCTTGAATACAATCTACTCAACTCCTATTAAATTGAAAAAGAGAAAAAAAAAAAAGTCTTTATTGAATTTGCAATTAATGTTTTTGCTTTTTGCTTTTCGCTTCTTTCTTCGCTTGTTAAAGTCCAAGCCCTTCTTTTCCTTGCAATTTTAATCAGTCAAATATTAAATGATTTCCAAATTTATGAGTTATAAATGTCAACTGTGTATGAAGTATATAAGTTTTCATATTTAAGACAAGTCAGACGCCATATGCCTGGCCAGACGTTGCATCATCCGATCAAGGCAAACACAAAATGAAATTAATGTCGATCTTAAGTGCAGGTTTAATGCCGTCGTCATCGTGTCATTGTTGTTTTGCAGTGACCGCCACAGAAGAAAATAATCACCATAATTTTCATCATCATTGCGATTAACGAAAAATAGTAGCGTCTCTGCTTATGGATCCCATTCTCATTCTCAGCGCATTAACTAACGTAGCAAGTAATAGTATTAATAATAGCAGTAGCAGTAGTAGTAGTAGTAGTAGTAGTAGTAGTAGTAGTAGCAATAGTAGTAGTAGTAGTAGTAGTAGTAGTAGTAGTAGTAGTAGTAGTAGTGGTTGCAATTGTGGTAGTGCGCAGTAGTAATGATAGCAGCGGTAGTAATAATGCATTTTATGTATATACGTTTGTATATAAGTATATAGACCTATATGCTTATTAGCCGTATTATAGTTAGACGTTAATTCTTATGAATCACACAGAACCACCGCCGCCGCCGCCGATGCCAAGCTACCTAATATCCAACAATTGATTGAAGCCGAAACGACCAACGGAGGAACGGACCGGACGACACTAGCTCTCGTTTGGATAATATCTCGGTATGCGACATAACTGACTTTATGGCATTTTAATGGTCACTTAATTTTGTTTATGCCTGCGTTGCTGTAAAATTAAAACTCAAATCTTTACTTGTGCCCTGTGTATGTGTATAGATAGATTGTGCGATTCTGCCTACTTGTGTAAACTTAGTTAATAGACAGATACGCACACTTAACTTACATGCCCGTCACATTACACATGGATTCATGCATTCTCAAATATATATATATATATATATATATATATATATATATATATATATATAATATATATATATGGATGTATGGAAGTATGCATGTATTTATGCAAGTACGCTTGTATTTCGATAATAAATAGTACAGCAGTTTGTAGACGAATGCATAGGTATTGGCATTCTATAGGACTTAACATGCATTCATCGATTATTGGTCAATAATGATTATTATCATGATTATTCTTATTAAGTGGTTCAGTAACAAAAGATTTGTACGCCGTCATTTCATACGGCTACTGTTACCCAATGCCTACAACAAGCAAACAAACAAACAAATAAACATAAAGCAGGCATACAGTATAGCAGTGGTCAGTAACAGTTCAATAGCAGAAAATCTCAATTGTTGTTGTTGTTGTTGTTGTTGTTGTTGTGTAACGCACTAATACCTCTTCTATAAACTAAAGCTAATGCTACAAAAATGTGTGCCCGTGTCCGTGTCTACGCTGTAATGGTATGTTCAAAGAGCGAAAGAGAATTAATTCAACATTTTGTTGTTCGTTGGTGTAGTCGCACATGTTGTAAACGAAAAGTCCCCCCTTTTATTATTCGTTGCCGCATAGTTACACTAAATTGTCGGCAATTTTTCACAATTTTTTATTACAAGCGTACAACTAGTGTACTACAACAATAATAATAACAATAACAACAAATATAACAACAACAACAACAATAACAACAATAACATTATTTAACAACAATACAAATATCAAATTTAATGCTATAAAGCAACACAATGAATGTTTGATTAAAATACCAAAAATGTATATAGATGTGCATGGAAAATAACGCTTTATTCTTCTTTTCTTAATAACAACAGGCGCTCGAATACGATATATATATATAGGTACACAAATGAGCAAAAATTAAATCCTTTAAAGAATTTAAATTTAAAAGAAAAAAAAAAAAAGAAAAAAAAAACCGAACATTAGAACAAGCGAAGCAAAATTTATATCTTTCAAAGAGCATGGTCTGTCCGTGCTGTAAATATATGGACTTTTTTGCAGGGATCTACGGTTAGAAAGAGCACTCGTCCAGCTTAGGGTGGTTCATTGTACGACGACAAAGATCGATAGGTTGGGAGTATATCCGATTTAGAAAACGAGACTAAGTGCAACCTCTTCACAAAATGCCTTACATGCTCGATGTTCGATATCTCATGTGGAATTCTCTGTAAAGAAACGGCTCGCGCAGCCATTCACTTACCCCAGTTCTATAGTTACTTTTCTTAGCAGAAAGCCTTAAGCGTTTGGCTTGCTAAGAGGTCGGTCTTGCTAAGAGTTCCCGATCGATTGGCATTCATTGCACAAATGCATGTTGAGAAGGGCAATACATATACATATATATAATATATATATATAATCTCCATAATTGATCGTTGTTCCTATTGCGAGTGATTTTTTACATTCTCAGCCTAATACTTATCTACGTCGTACTTTTTATTGCGTTAGTCAGTTTCTTTTTATCTTTTGTTTTCATTACCAAATACAATCGTTTCAGTTTTTGACAACACAAGTCTTCCAAGTCTGTCGTGTAAATCCTCGCTGTGCATTATGCATTACTTCTTGCTGGCATTCTTCTCCGACCAGGTTCGACAGGCCATGCAAGATTTTACCGAACATTCAGTGGTAAAAATTTACGCGAGCGATTTTTTTCTGAGTTGAATCGTGTATCAGCCAAGCATCGCGCTTTATTGTCGGGCTCCTTAACGTTACCATGACTGTTTTCGTCTTCGTCTTCGTCTTTGTCTTCTTTTTTTTTTTTTTTTTTTTTTGATTAGAACGATGTTAAGTTCTTCTTTTGTCAATCCCTCGCTGGTAGACGTTATCGTAAGAGTTTGGCGTTTGGTTTGCAGTCCCCTAAAGTCTATCTAACAAGTTTGGTAAGAAACATAAGTAAATGATATCTTGACTGTTTGCTTGCACTCTTCGACAAATGGTATACTCTCGGTAGCTCTTGACTAGCTACCATTGACATTGATATTGATATTGCGGTGATCGAAGGGATTTCATTATTAAAGTATAGAAAAAGAGATAAAAAAACACTTTATAGTTAAATCGAAAATTATACTCTTATCTATTATTATTATTATTATTATAAATTTAGCCAGAGAATAAATTCTAAGACTAAAGTAGTCTTAAAGCGCTAGCATCTAAGGCTTTCGGCTTTATTAAAAACTCTACCGCACTTGAGATATGAACCCACGACCATTGAGTTGCCAGTCGAGACTCTTGCCTACTCGGCCACTCAGGCGGATACTCTTATCTAAATTGTAGGTTGTCAAGGTTTGAGAATAGTTTCCCTTTTTTTGAAAAAGACGAATATGAAGTGAATGTAATAAAAAAAATATAAAAGCGATTTGTCGAGTGAGTGTAAGGACGAGATTTACAACCCAACAAAGTCATTTCGTTTGTTGCAAAACGTAAATAGAAAATTTTTATATAAATAATCATAATAATGATGATCGATGCATTATATTTATTTTATTATATAAGCGTTAGACGCGAACTTCACCAGTATATCTGTAGTATATTAAAACGCCAGCATTGACAATACCAGCGAGGCAAGCTGTTACACCAAAACATATTAAAAATATATCACGCACTTGTGCGATATGGCAAGGACCGTAGTTGTTGGGATATCTTAAGCACATGTCCATTATACCAGGAAGCGATATGCCTAGCACACATAAGCATACGCTAGAGACCAAAGAGATGATTATATCAAAGTGTGGTATCGTAAGTGAAGCAAACACTGAAAATGAGCAAAAAACACAATAAGTATGTAATTATGTAATATCGCAGACAAACGTAAAGTAGAGTATCTTGTTACTGGTTATAGCCACTATCATGACTCGGAATGAAGTTTCAAAGATTGGTTGCGCTTCTGGGGGGAATAGAGCCGCCATTCTGTGAGTCCAAATTATTGATACAACCGGATAAATTTGCAGTGGATACGTGAAAAATATAGCCAATGCGTGGAAGATTTTACTTACATTCGGTACGCTATCAAATAAATGATATGCAATTTAATTCATAATTATTTATCCATATTTTGAAAAAAAAAAAAAAGAAAAAAAACACATATAAATAAATAAATAAGTAAATAAATAAAAAATATGAATAATACTTACACTTCTTCTTCTGGTATATTATCTATTACATAAAAAAAGGTTTTATCACCGTAACACCAGTATCCGCACATGGAGAATAAGGCAAATAGCACATATAGTAAAGACATACCCACATTTAAACACCCGAAAGGGCCGAGATATCTCGCGGGATCTTTCATTTCAGCTTCAATAGCTAATAACTGGGAAAGCCATAACAGAAAAGCGATAAAACGAAACGAACTGACTAACTGACTGATCGATGAACATTCATTTACTCATCATTTGGCGATATAAGAATAAAAAAAAAAAAAAATGCAACTTACCACGCCCAAGGAGGAATTACTTAACAAAACTAGACCAATGTATAACGGTATGTAGGTCAATTCGTTGAACATTAAAAGTTCGCTAAACGGTCGCGTTGTATCAGCTATCATATAGTATGCAATCATTGCAAGACCTATATTAAATGAAAAAGCCAATGACAAAATTATGTCCATTTATAATACATAATATATATATATATATATATATATATATATGTATGCATATATACATACTGATAAGCACCGTAATATTAGACACAACGCTTACGGGTACTAAACTTTTTAGCTTCTTTATCATCGTTATTGCGATTAGGAATGGTGCCAGAAATAACATGACCAACTTATAGTCAATATAGCCCAACCAATAAATGATAATATCTTTGACGCTTTCCGTAGCAAGTTCAATATACATGATTCCGACGCCAAAATGGAATATGACCAAAAAGCTTGATACATAAATTCTGCAGAAGGAGTACAAAATTAATGAAAGCCATAAGTGATCATAAGTAAACTGCCGTTCACAGCTCTTACGAAACTGATTTTTTATAACGTTGCATCCAACTGGGGCCCTCAATTACACACTCCATCATCGCTTTGCCAAATTGCATATAAGGAACGCGACGACGTCGACATATCTCGTTTATGCATTTCACCTAATTTGTAATACGGAATACAGTCGAGCCTTCAACATGACGCCGAATACATTCATATTTATTTACCAATAGCCGGAAACTATAGACAATTAGCATCATAACAATAGCCGACACGAGAAAACCGACAACCCAGCCTACCCTCTTAAAACCGTACGGACCTGATAATATTCCTCCGCCAAGAATACAATTAACTAGATGTACCAGGCCATCCCAATACCTAAGAATAGCGGCAGTATGCGTGATTAGAATTTTAAAAAAGTAAAAACGTCGAACCGTCGAACATTTACCCTAATGTTGCGATTTCCTTTCGATACGTGTAAGGATCGTAAATAGGTTGACTTGGTTGCTCCATTCCGTTGACGAGAATATATTCTATAAAAATCGAATAACCGCAAAATTTTATATGGACAACAAACAAACAAAAAAAAAAAAAAAAAAAAGGAAAGCGAAAAGAAAAACAATAATTTTCAAATTATTTTCGATAGCTCATCTTCTTCTTTTTTTTTTCTTTTTCTTCTTCTTCTCCTATTTGGCAAATCAACAATCGAAAATTTGTGAACAGAAAGTTGTTTCGTTGTTCGAACCATAATAAAATTAGGATTCGTTTTGGTTCATAATTATTATTATTATTATTTATATTTTGGATAGCTTATCGTTTTGTTATGCAAGTGCTACACTCCGTCTGATTCCATATATAAGTGGTATTGCTATGCCTAAGAGTCGATGGAACGCAGAGATGTATTCATTTTATGTGGATAGTAGTGCGTTTTTGTCCGCCTGAAATCAGCGGCTTTCGTTAATCTATACTTCGCTTATTGATAATTCATTCATCAAAAATTCTCGCATGCGGAAGGAAGATAAGTAAACACGAAATGTATCCATAGCAAATATCACTGCGTTTCACATACACGCGCGCTTTGACGATAACCTTACGGTTTACTTCGGAATTTGGTGTAACTATCTGGATAGTTTCTTTTCATGCTACTCGAGTTGTAGGCTTATACGTCAAGGGCCTACATCCAAATGCGTTCCAAAAAAAAAAAACAAAAAAAACAAAAGATTTCTTAGGTTGTAACTAATCATTTACTTAACCTTACGCAGCCGAAGCAATAATAATAACAAATTGTTCATTACAGTATAAATGCGTGAACTCGATTTCTAACACACACACACACACAGAAACAACTATCATTTGTAAGCACTTGTGATTTTTTTGACACCGTCATCCCCATTAACTTGTCTCAAGATTCTCCATCCATACCCAATAAAAGTTAACTTTCGTTTGCGACCAAGCCGATAATTGATAAGCGTTCTTGTCCCGATCGCGTAAGACTTTCGTATCAATTTCGTCGCTATCCGTCATATGTAAGAAAAGAGAAACATTTTTGTTTTGTAAAAATCCGAAAAATAGCAACCGCTTCTCCTTTCTCATAAGCAAACAAACAAGCCAACTATTAATTGGACGAATATTTGGGGAATAAATTATCAAAAAAAAAAAAAAAAAGGGAATATAAATTTTCAAATATGATCAAATAATTAAGCTTTTTGGACTTTTTGTTTATTGCTCATACACTAAAACAGACACACACAATAAAAGTTTCTATCTATATTCTGTAAAACTAGAAATAGTCGGTCACGTTCATCTGATACTGTAGAGTATGGAAATTTAGTCTTTTCCGTCTTTTTTTTTTTTTTTCTTTTTTTTTTAATATAATCTTAATTTTTGTTACCCATTTTTCACACGTGGGCCGAAAATTTTGTCAAGGAAAATCAAATATTATAAGTTTTTGTGAATGAAGCCATGTCGTCCTGACCACCAATATTCTGAATTTTTAAAATTAACTTTAGTGAGAATTATAAGAGAAAATTTCACACCAAGCCCGCTTTTCTAGACAAAGGTCTGAACTTGCAATAATAAAATCAAAAAAATGGGTGGACAGATGGACAGATCGAAATTGCTGAAGCCAGTCTTCGTGCGTACCAAGATGTTTTATGGTTAACAAACTTCTTAGGACTGAGTAAATCAAACAACATTTCTTTTTTTTAAGTTTTACTTTATACGTTAACATAAGTCCCTCAAGTGTACTATAATTAGGGCACCGCCTTTCTAAAATTTCAATGTGCTGTCTGTAGAACGATTTGTTGAAATGGCTTCAGTACTTACGCTTTAGTTTTTGCAATGAGGTCATCATTTGATGCAAATGTTTTTTCCTAATGCGAACAGATAATAGACGTTCAGTTCGGGTCAGTTCGGGGGAATATTCCATTTCGGGATACGATACATACGCCACGGTAAGTGTGGCGGTACCAATTTGGAAAACTATTTTCCTCGAATCAACACGTGTTGATACAAAATAGTGAATGCATTGCCTTTAAAGTCTTTAAGATCTCAACTATGTCATGCAACATAACTTTCAAGATTTCTTTGATGTCTCGTAGTGCGATCGTCATCGTTCTCCATACGAATTCGTTCAAAATTAGCCAACCTCTGATTAATTGTTATTTTTTTGGGCGGAGAAGGGTTGCCATAACGATTTTCAAGCCATTTTTGACTTTCAATGACATTTTTTCTCATCTAAAAATTATGTTATGTAAGCCAAGAAACTTGGATTTTTACCTTGGTTTGAAAATAGCAGAAGTCGCGTGACCTAAATCGTCCATGTATCCGCCTGAGTGGCCGAGTGGGCAGAGGGATTCGACTAACAACTTATCGCTCGTGAGTTCAAACCCTAAACGCGATACTGTTTTCAATAAAGTCGATTCCCTTAGATGCTCGTCTTAGAATTTACTTCTCCGGCTAACGTAATAATAATAACGATAACAATACTAAGTCACTGAAATTTGCAAAGTCCCCATGTGAGAATGTGTGTGTGTGTGCGTGTCTTCTTAATAATAAGACATTCAGTCTCGGGATTTAATGCCATACACACAGCAAACAAACAAACAATGATATGAGAGGCGTCAACGTTAAAACTCAATGCGGGTCTCAGTTTAAAAGCCAACACTGATGACTGACTTGCTCCTGATGTAGACAAAGGCCATATGATCTAATCGATGAGACAAGATGAGACCATCTTAGCTCGTATCTAAGTATAAGAACTTTGCATTTCTTCTTATCTTATTAGATTTGTAGCAAATATTCCGAGCTCCTTCTAATTAGATTTTTGTGACTTTCAGCTTCTGTTAGCTTCTCCCATCGCGCTGACTAGCAAGTGAATAAATTATTCATATAGGAAAAGGATTTAATCGTCCGCAGCATGTAAACAACAGAAACGAGAAGCATGTGGTTATAAGAGACAATGTCTTTATGAATAAAACCGCCATCAAGATGTCATGTCGAAGATGGTTTGCTTGCAAGAAGGGATCGCGGACTTAATTTTAAATTGAAAATTTCAACAATTGCGTAAAGATAAAGATCTTGTAGTTGAGTAAATCCGATTTGTCTTATTGTAAAGGAGAATTTGATCAGTCAGTTTAAGCATCCATCACACTATTCGCTTTTGTTTGTTTGATCGCTAGGGTTTATGGCAAAATGTAATCTTGCGCATCGATAAGTTATGTAAGCTTTAAACCGCGGAAACGTATGAATGCATTATTTCTCATCAAAAGTTAATATAATAAAGAGAAATGTTATATAACAATTAAGGGAATGCTCGGAGAAACTCTTATTAGAAAACGTAATACAAGTAAGATATTTTTTATGAAAATTAAGGTGAATTTCGATTTGCAAGCATTGTAATATGTGAATTAATTATCCACAGAATGGTAAGTGCGCTAAATGTTTTCGGTAAGTAGAGAGTCGTAGAACCGGGGAGAAGAGAAAAACTTCTTTTTTTTTTCTTTTTTTTTTTTTGCTAATTATTTGAGATTTCTTTTAACGTTTAAAATATTGTGATCGTATTGATGAGGAGACAGACAGACAGACATGTTTGAAATTAGTCATCTGTTCTCAAGCATATAAAAAATGTAAACACTTTTGAGTGAACTTTGTTGTACACGTTTGCCAGTTGTAAGCATAACGAGAAAATTAATGTGACCGTATACTTGGTTGGTGGCTAAAACGTGGACTTCCGTCCAATCAATTTAAGAAAATAAGAATTTTACTGTATTTTCGCTGTAATACTAAGGCAACGATTTTTATGTATTGTGAGTGAGAAGCAGTGGAGATACCCCCTGCTTGACACAAACAATCATTAATAACGAAATGAAAATGTATATTTATAGTTAGATAACAGCAACAGCAACTGAAACAATAACTGAAACAGCAACTGAAATAGCAACAGCAACAGCAACAGCAACAATGTAATCTTATTTCTTCGTCAGCTGTACGACAGGTTACAACAGGTTTACAATATTTCTTATTTTTACTCCTTACACTCACTCACGGTTTGATTAAACAGCAGCAACGGCGTTTGTAGCAACAATAACCGGCAAGAGAAAAACGATTTTGAAGAAAAACTTTAAAACATTTGTTCTACAGTTAAGTAACAAATTAACGTTCGCGGGACATCGACGCTCAATACTACGAGCGACATGACGTCGTTTCCACCTCCAACAAGCAATTTAAACGCTAACATTGCCACAATTAAAGTATTATCTTAGCTTGGCTTAGTGTTATTGTCGACAAATACCAACACATCATAGATCGGCTAAATCCATGTAGTTTGTTATGAAAAAAAAAAAAAAATAAAAGGAAAAAATAAATAAATACGAGAGAGAGAGAGAGAGAGAGAGAGAGAGAGAGAGAGAAGTATATAGTAGCCAAGAGGCGAATCTTTGATACCCTCTTACCACTACAAGCACTAAAAAAAATGCAAAATTTTTCATTAATTGCGGTATATTCGGTCAAATATTTGCAATCTTCCGCTCACTGGCATTACCGCGGCGCTTCTGAAAAGAAAATTTCTCTATGAAGCATTCTTTTGCGGATCGCACGTTAAAGTGTTTTCCTTTTTGCGAAGACAAGAAGCTCGACCAGGTCTAACACATACACGCGGAATACATAAATGATATGAAGTGCTTGATAAGTATTTTTATGCGTTACAAGCGGAAGGATAGACCTAGCATGCCGCCTAGTACGGTAGTAAAATACCCAATGCACGCTTAACCTTTCCTCCGTTTCGAGCTTCGTGAACACTTTTTTTTTGCTAAATGTCTACCACTCTATTATATTGTTTGGGAAGATTTAGCCATACACTAACTTCAGGTGCCTTTCAACGTTCGTTTGATACCAGAAAGTTTAGCTTAATGAAAGAGTTTTCGGTTAAGTAGATTTCGATTGTTATTAAATAAATGAATAGTGATTTAAATATTAAATGATTTATGCATCCAATGTAAGGGTTGCTGCAAAAT